AGCATAATATCAAAGGAAATAAAGCAATTTTAGAATATTAATGCTACAAATAATATTGTTATTTTAAATTTGTGAAATGAGGTTCTATTACAGTTCAACAATATCCATTGCATTTTCAGATTTTATGTAAGTCAATGTTTTCATGATAAAATTGGTATTAATCAACTGGTACTGGTAACATTTTTAGGCTATATTTATATGACCAGGATATAATGTGAATTTCATAGATGTTTATAAAAGTAATATAAATAATAATAATTTAATGGAAATGTGTGTTTTTTTTTTTTTTTTTTTTTTTATATAAATAAGAACAAGTTATAAGCTGAGATTCACCTGGTATATTTCTTGTATGAATAGCTGCAAAAATCTACATTGGTTGTTTAATTCCAATTTTATTGTGAAAAAATTGACTTGTATAATCTGACATAGTGTAATTTTAATATACATCTCCCCTCATTCTGATTTTTATCTCGGATTATACACCTGGTCCTTATTAGTATAATGACTGTGGGTTAGAAAATAACACACTTCCTCTTCTATATACATTAATCTATATTTTACATTCATACACTCCTACTTGATTATATTCAAAATGTTAGAATAATTTTATCAATCATAACTATTTTGATATTTCTGCATTCTTTTGCTATAGCATTTTTATCAATATTTTATATTTACTTTGAAGTAACTTTAACTATTATAAACTGATTTCTTTTTCTTTCTTTTTCTTTCTTTTTGAATTTCATTGAAAGCCGTAAAATTATTTTTTAAATCTGTAAGCAATCCCACAATTCAGCCTACAAAAAATATCCAAGTTATTTCATGTCCAAGAATTGAGTGCATTCCAATATCATCTTTTTTTCTCTCTCATATTTTTCTCTCCATTCTCTGTAAATTTTACTTGAACATGTTTGTAGTGATGTCATATTGGCAGGCAACTTCTCTTGTATATTTGTTTTTTTTTTTTTTTTTTTTTTTTGTCCACTGTGTTGTATATCATATTGATTTTTTTCTTCTCCCCCCTGTAAACATATATATGTATATACATATTTTTGTCTTTTTTTTTTTTTTTTCTTCTTTGGACAAGATCATAGGAATGCTGGTATGTATTTTGTGTGCTTTAAGTAGCTCTGTTGTTGTTTGTATTTTGAATTCCTTCACCGATTGCATGCATTTATAGTTTGAGATTTTGTTTTCACAGTTGTTTCTGTAAATTATTGCACATCTAAAACCTCTTTATTCATTATATAATTTTATATATACCATTTCGATCCATTAAATATTCGTGTTTACTTGCTGGTACATTAAAAAGTTTATTTTATTGGCACTTGATAATAGCTTGAGGGTAGTTTTTATTGTTGAGAGAACATAATAGAAAACAATATCTTTTAAGAGAATGATGTCTATACACAAGTTGACATCAGAATTTACTTTTCTATTGAAATATTAAAATCTGGCACACACAAAAAGCTATTCTTTTTTATTTTTTTTAAAAATTTATTCCAACTACCTGCTAAGTATTTAAGGTTTAAAAATGGCAGAACTACTCAGGAGCTTTAGTTTCTTGTTTTTGATTTAATGTATTCGCATTGTTAATCATTTTATTTTATCAGCAAATTTAGAATTACAGCATTTCTTATTGTAAATTTTACATAGCTTGGCACAAGGATACAATAGTGGCTCATTCGATCAGAAACTCTTACAATAATGAATTTTGGTTGTGAGGCCAGTTTGCTAACCATTATTCTACAGTAGGACTCTACATTTTTTAAAGCCCTAATGTTGCAGGAATTTTTTTACTAAATATAAAAACTAATGCTGAGGAGAAAATTATCTAATAAATTACTAACCCTTTCTTTATGATTGGATTATTTTTAAATCCAGTCTGTATTTATTTAATTTTATTACAAAACAGTTTTGACATTAAGTTCTTTAATCAAATATAGTAATTCCTATCCACCTTTTTCATACTGTAGAAATAATATCAATTTAAAATTATAGGGTGTATTATTTTACATACTTTTTATAATATTGAATATGATGGTGAGTGATGTATGTGTAATCTCCAAGGTTGACCTGGAACAGTTCAGTTTCAATACTTATATAAGGTCAATACAAGAAAAAATTCAGTGACTTTTTTTTTTTTTTTTTTTTTTAAGATTTAGGCAAATGTATCAAGGCTAAAGCTTTTTCATATGTACATTCAGAAGTGAAGCCAGTTTTCTATCTTAAACAACCTTTTTATCTTTTGTGGCAAATGAAAACCTAAATCTGGAATTAAAAAAGTTGGGTATCACTTCTTTGAGATAGAAAACTACCAATTAAAGGTTATGTGATACTTTTCTTAATTCCCTCACACTTTTCACTTTAATTTTGAATCAACTACTTTTTACAGTTTTAAAACTGAAATGTCACCAACTGGTTTATCTTGAAAGTAATATTTATATTCACTGCTCATATGTTTGATGTTGTCGTCTTTTTGGCACCTGGTGGACATTTAACACAAATATTCTTAAAATCTTTTACTCCTAAATATTATTTTTGGTACATTAACTTGTAGGGAGGGGTAGTAGACAGTCTGCAGTTCAAAACAACCATAATTTGCATATATCTGAATTAGTACATTTAGGAATTTTCAATTTTGCATGTTTTTTTTTTTTTTTTTTTTTAACTTTTAAACATTTTTTAAATCTTAAAAATTTAACTCTTTATAAAATTTCTTTCTGGTTACTGAATGGAATTTTTATTTTATCATATTCTTGGCACTGCATTTTATATAAGTTACCAATTGATTTGGCTATATTTTTTGGTCTTGATTTATTAAATCAGGAGGAAAGACTTGAACATATATAGAAGTACTATGCTGAATTAAATTTTGATTTAGGCTTATTGTATCCTTTTAGTTAAAATAAATGCTACAGTTTAATGATTTGAACTGCTATCAAAACAAGCTTGAACAAATTTAACTAGTTTTCAGTTATTTCACCTATTAAACACAGTCTGTGTTGTAATCTTCCATCTAACAATAAAGCATTTCATAAGATATTTATTTTTAATCCTGGTCCTAACTACATTTATAAATAGCACATTTTAGAAACTGTTTCATCATTAGTTTGTATGAGAAAAAGCATAAAGATGAATGCAATTAACCGAGTCTTAGAAATTATTTTAGTGTTCATACTCAGGTGTATCCAACATTAGTTATTGTCATTGAAAGTATATACTTTATAAGTAAATTAGCCCTCTCTCTCCATTTTAGTACTGTACTATATGTTCTCAAAATTGATACCCGGTCATAATTTTCTGCTATTTTGTAAGAATTTTCATTAAAACTCTTTACAGTTAGCCATAAATGTTTATGTTGACAATAAGGTCTTGCAAAAATATTGTTAGAATTTAAACAAAGAAATTTCTCTGAGGCTGTTGCATGTATTTTTCTCACTCCCTTCCCAAACCACCATGTTTTTATTACAAGATGATTGTAGTTTTAGAAACAGTCAAATGTGTTAAAATATGCTGCATCATAGAACCTAAAAACATTGTATATTGTATTTTTTTTTTTTTTTTTTTTTTTAAATCATTATTTCTATTTGGATTCAGATTGCTTTTCTTACAAAGTAACTATCTATAAAATCATATGAATAACCAGAATTTGAAATATTGTTTGTATTTTGGATTTGATAACTGTTCAAATTAAAATTACTAACCACAATATAATTTTTGATATTTTTACCATTATTTATAATGGGGAAAATAACAAGTGCAGTATTTTTTTCTTACTGATATTAAATTTTATTTACTGTTTAATTTGTTTGGATTATTTTATTACATGAAACAAGGTATTCTAAAAACAATGTTACAAAACAAAGAGTAACCTAACTGAACTTATGTTAAATAATCATATCAGAAATTAGGCACAATCTAATCTATATATTTTTAAGCATCTGTTAACTATTCTTTTTAGTATGTTTTAATGTATTATTGCTAGCTGATATTTGTTTACCACATATCCAGGAGTCAGTTTTTCTGCAGCTTTGCTCTTTCTAAACCAAATCAGTACTATCAATCACTTTTTTTTTCTCCTTATTGGCAACTGAGCAATTGTAAAACTTTAAGATGTATAACTTTTCAATTATTAATGTGGAAGAACTATTCTATGATTCTTTTTGTATATATAAATATCTTAAACTTTTACCTAATTTCATACTAAATAGGTTTTGTGGTTTGTCAAATTAACATTGTATTTAAGATGCACTGTAAAACAAAAATTGAAATTAATATTTAGCCAGTTAGTATAACTGATTAAAATCCTAAAGACTGAATTATGCAAACTTTTTTTTATAAATTTGAATCCTGCTGATAAATGAGCAATTATATATTTTAAATATTTTTTCAAAGCCTTAATATGAATTTGCATATTTATAAAGAGATTTAATTCTTCAGATTAATAAAACATGAAGGTATTTGTATTGTTACCACTTTTTATTTTTTAATAAATTAAATTTTTAAAGTGAAATAAAAATAAATTTATCTTGGATTCATTATTAAGTTATCTATTTTAAGATACTTGCTATTATTATTTAAAAAAAAAAGCTCTAAAATGGTTTGGTGTTAAGCTCTTGGTCTTATCTCTTCAAAGTATTGCAGTATGTATCCTTCCACTGTAATAAGCACTCTTAACCCCTACAAAGCAGACTAAATGTTTTAAATGTATACCAGCTAAGTTTATATAAGATTTTCAAAATTATGAAACTCATTTTTGCACTACTGAAATTTTCTTATTTGAATTTTTATTTAACCTTAAAGTATCATTTAGAAACAATATAGTTTAATTATTCAAGCTATGAATTAGGGATTATTGGATATCTCTAGGTCTTTTATGTTTGCCATTTTCTCCCCTAGTTGTGTGTAGCTTGACATTAAGTATTGTGTGTGTGTGTATTTATTTACTTATTTATTTAAAAACTTTACTATATATATTTTAATTGTTTTTGTTTCAGGTGGATGATCAGAAAGAAGATTTTAGTGATCTACCACCTAACCAAAGGAGAAAGAAACTTCAACAAAAAATTGACCTTATCAACAAAGAGATTAGTAAAGAAACAGCAGAAAGGTATGGTTATTATGAGCACCTTGTTGCCAAAGCTCATATTTTTTTTACCTTCCCCCTTATTATAAATATATTTTGGTTAAAATCTCAACACTTGGATTTCATAATTTAACCATATTGATCTGTTTTTATACCTTTTTTTTTTTTTTTTTTTTTTTTTTTTTTAATAAATATTAATGAATTATGAGATCTTCAATAAGCACAATTTAAATCCATTGTGATTTAAAACACAATATAAGTTTTTCTTTTTTTTTTTTTTTTATATATAGGTTTGGAACAAAAATATCCCAAAAGTATTATTGTCTTAAAAAATGGAGATTATTTACAGAAATTAACATCTGGTATTTTAAAAAAAATATCCTCTTGCACCTTTTAGTTTTAGATGTTTCAATTTAACCAAGGAGGGAATAAACTTATAACTATGAACATGCTTATTCCACATATTTCCCCTAAAGTTCAACATCACTCAAAATTTCTTTAAACTCTATCAAAAGTATTAAATATTGCCCCTTTGTCACTGTCAGTATCATGTCTGAATTATTTATAAATTTTATTAATAAATTTAATGTTTGGAAACAGGAAATAGTTACGGATGGAGCAAGGTCTTTTGAGTCAGGTGGATTCTTTATGCACTCAAATCCCAAATTCTTAAACTCAGTCATTGTCTTGCCTGCGCTATGAGCAGGTACCTTGCCCTGAGGAAAGAAAACACTTTTTTGCAGCTACTATGACTATTTTTCTTGGAATGCTTTCTTTTAATGGGTTCAGCAAATTAAATTAGTATTCTCTATTAACTGTTCTGAAGATAGTAATATCTTTCTTATCCCTAAAAGTGTGGCCATGACATCACCTGCTGATTTTTCAGTCTTTTGCTTTGGAGAAGTGTTGAGCGTCGCCACTGTATGAGCTGTTCTTTGGTCTCCAGATCATAATGTTGTAACAAGTTTATTATTAGGGTGTTAAAAATGCTGTAAAATCAACTTGGAGGTGTTTACTCATTATTCTACTCAATATTCAAAAATTGTCACCCGTTTGCCTGATAGCTCTTCTATACCCAACTGATTGATTTAGTAAACCCCCCAATGGCTATTGCTGTTGTCCTAGCAATTCTTTTGACTGAGATTTGTCATCGTCTTCTATGTGCCACGTCCATTCAGGACATAGGTGATCATGGCTCACCACAACTTCCTATTTTTTGGTGCTCTTATCAGTTTTTCTCCCTTTGCTAAATCTCCCATCCATTCACACAAACTCATCAGATAAGTAGTTTGCTGCCTTTCCCTATCTCTCTTGCCCTCAATATTCCCCTTTAGGCTTAAGTTTGCCAAGCCCTCTTTCCTAATTGTGTCCAAGCAATTTCAGCTCTGTTTCCTGATTCTGAGTAGAAGTATTCTTTCTGTTGCCATTTTCTTTAAGATTTCCTTGTTTACTTACTCTGTCCATGGAATTTTCATTATATCTCCATAGAACCACATTTCTTCTGCTTACAGTTTTCTCATTTGTGGGGAGATTGTCCAGCTCTAGAATTTGCTGCTATATAAGAGGTTGGATTACACATAGTAAACCAGAAGTCTTCTTTTTTTTTTTTTTTTTTTTTTCTAACATTTTTCTGTTTCTCAGTACCTTGTTAGCTTTTGGAATGCTTCTTTTTGCTAGTCCAATACATGTTTGGATCTCTGTCACACATTTCCATCCTCTGTTGAAACAATTCCCAGATATTTAAACCTCTGCACCTGCTTGATGTTTATATCTTCAATTTGTAACTTGCATCTTAGGATTTTTCTCTTGCTGATGACCACACTTTGTCACATTGCAGTTGGTGGTTAGTCCATTTTTCTCGCTTTCTTCTACTTCTCTGTCTAGCAGGTCCCGTAGTTTTCTTTCTGAGTCCACCATCAACACTATCATCTGTATATCATATTGTTATTTTTGTGTAGCTACTCAATTAATTTTCTATCTGTATGTAGGCAGTTTGTTTCCATTGAAAGTTCTGGATTATTCTGACATCTTTTTCCAAATAGATTTAGTTTTCCTTGCAGTTCAAATAGATTCTTGAGCCATATGAACTTGATCAACAATTTGAGAAATTGGCACTGTTTGATGACTCTTACACCATGCTGCATTTTGAACTTCAAAATCATCACTCTAGAACCATTTCTTCACAATAGCATTAATTGGAGAGCTGTGGAGGAAGTGAATATTCTCCCAGTTTGTATTTCCCATCATGGGCATTATCCATGATATAACACCTTATTTCATGGACAGAATGGAATGGCACTTTGTTCTCAGTTTTATACCACCAAATCATGCGCAAAATTATATATACATATTTACATGTGTCCCACACAGAGAATCTATAAAATTTATGTAATAACAGGCAGTGAAAAGAGAATGAAAAGATAGGGTCTTATAATAATTCCCAATCGAAATTGGAGCTGGTGGAGATTCTTCTGTGTTTCTGGAGAAATTTAGGATTGCAGTTGCAAGTGGACTGGATTTATCTGCTATGTCATTAGTGAGGATATATTCCTCTCAAAATGAGAAATGGCAAGCGATGGCTTTTTTCCCAACATTAGGACTACAAGATAGTGTTTCTATATCTGGTGAAGATATATTCCCAAAGGGAAACTGCACCATGGGCTTGTAAGCTGCACCATGTGACAGTGGCTGGCTGGACAAACAACTCTTGTGTCTTTGCTTCAGGCAGTTATTGATAAACAGCTCTCTTTCATCACTCCATAAAGTGATGTCACTAAGCAGCAGTCATGTGAGACATGTAACTGCATTTCAACCAAAGGGAGATAATCACTTTTTGTATCTGTTGTGGAGTAAATAGTACACTCCCAGTGACTATATGAACTAGTCCATAACTATAAATAGAGAGCTCCAGCTCAAAGCTGAGAAGCATCCATTTGGAGCCTGTATTCAGACTAATATAGGTGTCATGGCAAATAACCAAAGAATTACTTATGTTATAAGTGCTATGAAGTATGTTGTAACAGTGGCAATGAGGGATTTGATACTCTGATTTATAACCATTGTGATGAGGATTTGAAACTCTTATGAGTTATAACAGTAATGAGGATTCGGTAAATCATGAGTTGTAACTGGAGTTAGAAGGATTTTTGGATACTCAGACTGAGTGAACAAGTACGAAAAAAAGAAAAAAAAAAAGAAAATGTTGCTTCATGAACAAAGATACGGGTGACAAGAATTTTAACTATGTTGGTTTAAAAAAAATTTTTCTTGTGTAGAAGAAATTTTTTTTTTTTTTTTTTTTGTTGGGGGGAATTCTTGTGAATATGCAGCAAATTTTGGTTTCAATAGTTGAAATTCAACAGCAGCAACAACAAAATCAACAGTTGCTAGAACTACAAAAATAGCAACAGGAGTGTTTGATGTAATTCTGAAGAAATCAAAATAAATTTTTCAATGTCTCTTATGCCAGATGCTGTCCAAAACACCATATCAAAATTTGTATACAATATTGATCAGGGGCTAACTTTGTCTGCATATTTTTATAAATCTGAACAAATATTCAGTCAGGAATGCAGCAGCTGGGAAGATGAGAGTAAAACGAGATTGTTGTTGAGGAAAATAGCTCCGATAGAGTATGAAGAATACTGCAACTACATATTACCGAAAAAATGTATGAAATCGGGTTTGAAGACACGGTATACATTCTGATGAAAATCTTTAGTGAGAGGAGCTCTCTGTTTAATGTTCATTTGAGGCGGGTAAATCTAACCAAAAAGAGGACAAAGATTTTGTCATATATGATGGGATTGTCAACAAAGAATTTGAAGAGTTTAGAAGAAATGAAATGACTCCAGATATGTTCATAGGGTTAATTTTTGTTCAAGGTTTAACAGCTAAAAAAGATACTGAAATATGAGTGAAAATTTTAACAAAAATTGAACAAAATAGTAATATTACACCACAAGGAATAGTGGACAATTGCTAGAAGTATGAAACATGATGCTGAATAAATTCAGAAAAAAAGTATGTAAGCAAAGGACAAATGTACAAAAAGGAGAATAAATCCTTGTTTTAGATGTGGTAAATTAAATCTTGGAAATGATTGTCCATTTAAAAATGCAGAATGTTACAAGTGTGGTAAATGAGGGCATAGTCACACTGCAAAAGAAAAAATTCTCACAGGAAAAAATTTGTATGCAGCATTGCGACATAAAAAAAATGCTCACAGAAAATGAAAGGAAATTTGTGAATGTGAAAATAATGTGGGTGTGAAAATGCTACTGGGCACTGGTAGCGATATTTCAATAATTGGGGAAACCACATGGAAAGAAAGTTAAAGTTCTCTATTAAAAAGTTATGATTTCAGGTTCTGGTGAGTTTTATTTTTTATTTTATTTTTTTTTTGACAAATGACTTCTAATGTCTTATTCCTTAATAAGCATGTAAAACTAAAGTTTATGTATTAAAAAAATGCTACAAATTTATTTGGTACTGACTGGATAGAACTATTAGAGCTTTGAGAATTGCTTTGAGAAATGTAAATTTAAGAAGTCAGTGAAAATTTTAGGAAGAAATTAAAAGAAAAAAAAGGTTCTCTAGATGTTCTGCCAAATTAACTGTCAGTTTTCAAAATTCAATGTGGATTTTCAAGTAAAAAAAGGTTCAATGCCAGTATTTAAACCAAAACTGAGTGTACCATTTGCAACAAAGAGTTAAACACTCAAAAAAATTGGTATAATAGAAAAAAAAAAAAATGACCATTCAAAATGGGCTGCTCCAGCGGTGTATGTGTGGAAAAAAAAAAAAAAAGTTTGTGTGGAATTCTTGACAGGATTAAACAGTTGTCTAGAGATGCATAACTAGTCATTACCAAGTCCAGAGGAAATTTTTTTGAAGTTAAACAGCGGGAGAATATTTTCAAAGCTGGATCTCTCGAAAGCGTAGTTACAAATTCAAATTGAAAGTTAATGACCATAAATATGCACAGAGGATTACATAAATTTAATTAACTGCCTTTTGGTATAAAGTTGGGGTCATCTATTTTTCAACAAGCTATACATACCATGCTTGCAGATTTCGATTTCGTAGCTGCGTATCTGGACAACATTTTAATCAAGTGTGTCTAAAGAACAACATGTTGGGCATTTTTGGAAATGGAACATTTTTTGAATTTTGGAAAAACTAAGAGTATGGATTCAAGCCAGTGAAAAAAAATGCAAATTGTTTTTACCAAAAATTAAATACCTTGGTCAAATTATTGATAAAAATGGTTGTCATCCAGATCTGGCAAGTGCAATTAAAAATATACCTCCAGCAACAAATATGACTACATTACAAGCTTTTCTGGGACTCACTAATTACTATCAAATATACGTACATATGTCCGCTGAACGATCTACTTAAAGGAAGAAAGTGGAACTGGAATGATAACTGTCAAAAGGTGTTTGACAAAATAAAAAAAACAAAAAAAAAAACATTCTAGTTAGATTTATCACTAGCACACTACAATCCAAAAGCAGAAATTGTAATGGCTTCAAATGCTAGTGTGTATGGTATTGGCATGGTGATCTTACATAAATACGATGGTGGTAAAATGAAAGCTTTCACTCATGTTTCACACTTGCTTCTACCAGCAGAGAAAAATTACAGCCATATGGAAAAAGAGGACCTAGCAATTTGCTGTGAAAAATTTTTTAAAAATTTATTCATTAAAGAAATTTTAGGTTGCTAACAGACCACAGACCTCTATTAATAATGTATTGTTCAAAGAAAGGAATATCTACATCTAATAGACTGCAATGCTGGGCTACCATCTTATTAAACTAGGATTTTATGATGGAGTACCAACTGTCTAAAAAGTTAGAACATGTGGATAGATTATCAAGATTAATATCTAAAAATGCAGTATGATTTGAGGATGCAGTTATTGCAGCACTGAAAAGTGGAAAGGAAATTAAAAAAAAAAACAAAAAAAAACATTTTTATGTAACATAGTATAAGATTTACTGGTTACCCTGGAAGAAAAAGAAAAAGCGGAAAATGACATATTTTATTGTAAAAATCAAAAAGCAATTGAAAGAAAGTAATCCAGACTTAAATGCTTACTCGCTATGCAAAGGTGAAGTAATATTTGAGCAAAGGGTTGTAATACCTAGTGTTACAGAAGCGAATATTAAAAGATTTTCATAGTGATCATCCTGGTATTTCAAGAATGAAATCTCTGAGAAAATTCATATATTGGACCAGAATGGACCAAGATATTAAAAAAAATAGTGAAAACTTGTAGAAGTTGTGCACTGGCAGTAAAACTAACAATCACAAAGATAGAAACTTTGCACAAAGACAGACATGCCATGGTCAAGATTGCATAAAGATTTTGCAGGTTCTATGAAAGGATCACATTATCTTGTGGTAGTTGATAGTTTCACTAAATGACTGGAAATTTATAAGAGCAAAAATCCAACATCTTCAGTGACAGTGAATTTCTTGCATGAACTGTTTGCAAGATATGGTATACCAGATACCATAGTCTCTCTTAATGGAATTCATAGGGAAAGAATTCAAAAACTTTTGTAAGATGTTCTTCATTAAGCATGTTACGACCCTGCTGTATCACTCAAGGTTAAATGGACAAGTGGAATAGTTTGTGGGAACGTTCCAAAGAGTGTTGTAGAAAGCCAGTTTTGAGAAAGTAAATGTGGAAGCACTTCAAAATTTTCTGAGAGTTTACTGTGTAACACCTAGCCCCCAATACACCATCAGGCATGTTGCCAGTGGAATTAATGTTTACTAGAAAAGTAAAATTGGTGTTCAACAAGTTATTACCAAGTTGAAAAACACAAACAGATAACAAAAACAACACCAAAAGTTTCAAGGTTGGTGATAATGTGTTCTTTAGAGCATATAAGGATGGCAAATAGAGGTGGGAAGACTGCATAATATCAAGAATCGGGAAGTTGATTTACATGGACAAAGGGAAAAGATTTGAACATAAAAAGCACCATAATCAGCTGAAAAAGAAAAAAGTTCATCGATGAAAGACCTGAAACATTGGAAGAACTGTTAAAAAGACGATATGAAGTTTTTGGTGTGTCAGTACCACAAGTCGTGGAACCTACAAGTCCAACTTTCAGAAAAAGAAAGTGTATGACTAACTTTAAGTGGATCCAAGACAGAAATACTACAAAGTTGAGTACGTTGGCAAATTCTCTAGAAAGAGGAGGAGGAGGCGGCAATACTCATACCAATAAAAAATAAAATATTTATATAAAGTTTAATCCCAAAAGTGGGGATGTTGTAGAGTAAATAGTACACCTCCTGTGACTATATGAAACTAGTCCATAGCCATAAATAAAGTACTCCAGATCAAAGGTGAGAAGCTGTTTGGAGTTAGTCTTCAGACTAATTACAGGTATCACAGCAAGTAACCGAAACATTACTTGTGCTATGAAGCGTGTTATAACAGCATCTTTACAGTATGACAGGCACTTGTCATCCAATCACTAGATTGTAATGAAAGCAAAATGGGTAGATGAACTTAATAAATGAAAATGAGCAAAGAATGAGTTCAAAGTTCATTTTCAATTATTACAAAACTGTTATTTCCATAAATAACAGTTTATCAGGTTAGGGTAACATTTATTAAAGGTAGAGAAATTAAGAAATATTCCATAAAATATTACAATATTCTAATTTCAATTACTCAGAACAACTTATCATTAATAATATTAATATTATTAATATTAATTTTATTATTATTAATAATAATAATGATATCATCTTCAAATAAATCAAAAAAAAAAAAATCCCACACACATTTATGTATTTTTGTATTCTTTATTTTGCAGAGAAGGAATGTTGAAAATGAAAGATGTGTATATACAAAATCCTGCTCTTGGGGATGCTAGTAGCTTGGACAAGAAACTTGAAGAGAATGCACAAAAGCTTGACAGATTGAATCAAGAATTGATTAAATTTGAGGTGAATTTGGCAAACTGATCTTGTGTGAATTTTTTTTATTATCAGAATACTTACATTCATTATTGTAATAAAGTTGTAAGGTATGATAAACATTTGAATTTTCTGTATTATAAATGAAGCTGTTAATATTTACTTTAATAAGCAGTTTAATGTATTCAGTATATAAAAATGACAAATACACTAAATTGATTTATTATTTAAAACCAGATATAAAAAATCAGCAATAATTAAGAGTGACAATTTTTTTTTTTTTTTTTTACCTTTTTTCTAATGAGTAGTTTTATTGTTTTGGTATTGAAATATGCATAATGGAATGACTTGCTAATGGAGAAAAATTTAATGTGAAGTGACAATCATGTGAGCTCAGTAGCAAATAAGTTTCTAAATTATCAAAGAATGATTGAAATGATTTATTTTTTTATTTAATGGTGGCTTACAGGAAGAAAAAACATTAAATATAAACTAGTTAATAGCTAAATATTTGAACACAGATAATTTTAACCTATTTGTAATTAGCCTGGAAATGTTTGTGGTAATAAAAATTGTTAACCTAGATTTTTGGTGAGTACTATGAAAATATTGGAACTAAATTAGTAATTTTTTTTTTTGTAAGGATACAGAATTTTATTAAAGCAGTAAAAGTAATTCATAAAAAAGCGTCATATATATATATATATATATATATATATATATATATATATATATAAATAATAATAGTTGGCCACTCATAATCAAGGATACCTGTCTACTAGTGTGGCTAGCCAATCCTTATTGCAGATGCCAACTTGGGTGCATTTGTGTTTGTTCAACACCCACAGAGCTCACCTGTGATTTATACTGCAACTATGCTGAGCAGACTTTAGTTACAGTTTCTGGGAGAGAGTGCGTTATCTAGCATGATCAACAATCTGAACAAGGCCAGCATGCTCAAACCCTCAGTCACAATGACATGTGACTTCATGCTAGCACAGCCATCAAAGGCCCCTAAGGGTTGTGTTTACCCAATTCCACTCATAAGGCTTGACTCAACCCATGGTATGGTTTTCAGGCACTTTCCAAAGGTGTCACATGCTGGGATCACCCTCTCCACACTGATAACATCAGGAAGTCTCCTTCCTAACAAATCGACTGGTGAGATTCGAACCCAGGTCTCCTAGACAGAAAGTGACTGTTCTAATCACTTGGCCAAGTGCTCATATATATATATATATATATATATATAAAAAACCTCAGCCTAATGTTATACAAAAAGAAAAAAAAACATTAATGATTAATTACATTCAAGGCTACAAATTACCCCTTCTTACAGAGGGATGACTGGTAGGATTTGATGATTCATTCCAAAACTTTCAAGTGATAATCAGTATTAGCTCTCTTCAGCTCTAAGAACATGTTGAGGTTTTAAGACTGGGCACACTGCTGTTTTTTAATCAAATGTTCAACTATCACTGAATCGCATACATTAATGCATCTATGTAGTCAACCTTTCCATTGCAAAAAATTGACTGATACATGTTGGTTGGTCCAGGCAATCCAGTCTTTGATCTGTTCTACCTACATAGTCTGCATTACACTGACATCTGAATTTGTAGATTACAAAACTAATATAAGTAGATATTTTTAATTTAAGTGTAATTTTTTTTTTTTTTAAATATAATGCTAAGTGTCATTATAATAGGGTAATTATAATATTCTTTAACAGTTTGAAGTTCACATAAATGATTTTCCTGTTAATAATAGTTGAATTTTATGACTGCTTTAATCTCATACATTTGTACAAAGGAGTGTTGAAATGTTCATGGAATGATGGAGTTAAAAAAAAAAAAATCAGATATTTGATCATTTGGCCAGATTTGTGTAAGTGATTCAGATTGAGAACTTTTCAGCATCTATCCTCTCATAGATGCCTTGTATTTAAATATCTTTTTCCAAAGAAAAATTTGAGGAATCTTTTCATTCAGTTTTAATATAATTTTTTTGTTATGTTTTTATTTATTTATTTTTTTTAAAGATTTTTATTCCTTCAGTAATTTGAAGGAGTGATCCTTGTAAAGCTGCATTGGCACCATTTAGTGCTGTGCTAGAAACTACAATGCATTAAGTATATTGACTTCTAAAACTGTTATTCATAAATGAATTCATATTCTTACTGAAAAGTAATTTTCCTTACAGAACTACATGGCTGATGCAGAAGGGAAGATAGTAAGAAGACACAGTACTGCTAATGATTCATTATCCAACAGTCCATCAGAAAGCAGTGTTCAGTCTAACTTAGGACCCTACATATCTGCACCTGGCACTCCCATAGCACATCACTATGCGTGAGTATCTTACAATAGCTAAAAAAAATGACTGCACTTATGCAGAGTTGCCTCGCTCAGACATCACACATTTTTTTCTCTCACTCCAACCAAAACTGTTACACAATACCTTTGTTCCTATCATTATTCTCTCACTGGAAAGCTAAATAGCTCCTTTTCTCTCAAACATTTCCTGTGCTGATGTAGCAATAAAGGAAAAATGATTCAGGATTGATTGTAGATCATTATCTTTATTTTTTAGTGCAAGTAAATTGGCTTATTTATTATACCATCATCCAAATCTTTAAATTTAGAAAATCTGCCTACTTTCAGTTTTTCTATCACTATTAGGTAAAGATAAACTTTTAACACTTTTTAGTTCATATACTTGAAATTTCTGCTCCTTAATAGATGGTGTGTAAGTGAATGATAAAATGGGAAAACTTAACCACTTTTCAGTATGTTTTTATGAAAATGATATAAATTTTTATATATCAAGAACAATTTTAAAGTCTGAGTGAAAAAAAAATAAATTTAAAATTTCAGCATACCCTCATTCATATGCATGTGTAATCACATCAATGTAAACATGTTTCATGCAATGAAGCTCTAAAGGATGAAATGTGTCACAAAAAACCTTTTCCACTTTGTCAAGGATTTTCCTTCTATATAATCTAAAGCACACACACACACACACACATATCTATATATATATATATATATATATATATATATATATATATATATATATATATGGTTAATCTTGAAAAAATCATGAAGTTTGTAATTTTGTTGGTTTATTTATAGGATTTTGCACTGTATTGAGGATTTTTTTTTCTTGAACAGAAATCTGCTTCATCTCTACATTGTCATAACTTCTCAAATCTTAAATTACATTTCTTGCTTACTTCCTGATAGTGATTCTATTTTATAATTACTAGAATTTTCATCATCTAAAAAAAAAAAAAACAAACAATAAAATATCTATTTTACTTTAAGAATTAGTTCTGCTACTATAAGGGTACTTCCTAAAATTTGGTGGGTAGGAAATGTTTGATTTGTTTACCCACAAAACACATCATTAGTAATGGTATATAGCTGTTATATTAAAATATATCTTAAAAAATATATAAGGATTGTGTTCAAAGATTCCTTTTTAATTATGAACATTACTTTTTAATTAATGCACTTTATCTACTATTCATTTGAATATTCCTGAATTTTTTTATAAATTTTTTTTTTTTTTTTTTTATAAATTATTTGTGATTATTAATGGTTGGCAATTCTTATCAGTCTAAAGCTTACTTATAAATAACTTGCACGCAATTCTTACTGATATAACTACTTCATAAAATAGGTCATTTTCATCAAAAGTAGTAATATAGATTTAAGGGGAGACAACTCAAATTATTCTATACTGCTGTTTTAATCCATTAATTCTGGCATTTTGCTTTGTAACTACTATTTTCTTTTAAATAATGAATTTATAAAGTGATCTTTGTTAATAAGTAATAGCTGATAGGTTTGTCCCGTAACAAATTATTTATTTTTGAGTCGTCTTAATAGATTTGATGTCATATTTTGTGTTTTACTGCATGTTTACTACTTTGACACTATATTCATCCAGAAAGTCACATCCACTCAGATTGATTATTTTTGTAACAAAAAAACAATCACTATAGCTCATTTTTCTATTTTAGCATTTCTGTTCAAAAAATCTCTTATTTTTTTTCCCCCCAAGTTCGACTCCTTTTTTTTTCTAAAGGCCTGTAACTGTTATTTAGATGTTTCAAAAATAATTTTAAATTACTTTAACATGCTGCTTCTCTTTTTTTTTCTTTTTTTTTTTTCTATAATATGGGCACTCATTGCTACAATTATTTTTCAAGATTGTTTTGGATCCTAGTTATAATAAGTGTTTTTTATTGTGCTTCATTAATGTGTATTAATGTGGCTCTGTTTTAAAACTTTTGCTTGTTTTAGTTGGATAAGCTGCAGGTTATTTTCTTTATTATTATGCTGTCTGTATTAATTGTTTGAATTAATGACTATTTGATGTTTGACTTCAGTTCATGCCGATTCTAGGAAATTGTTTTAGATTACAGTAGGAGTATTGATTTCACTTGCATAACACTTATTCAACTTTTTTCAGATATAATTAATACAAGATCTATTTACTTCAGCTGCTTTCTGAAATTACTGATAAAAATAATGTTTACATGACACTGCTATGATTAAATGATCTATAATTTAATTTTTCTAAAAAATCCAAATCTATTTTCAAAATCTTTAAGATGAAAAATAAATTTTTATATAATATAAAATTAGTTTCCTGGGATTTTACTGTGTATATTCAGTTATAACTGAAAAATATTAAAATTGGCATAAAATTAAAATAGTTCCACAATGAGTCCTGAATTTTTACTTTTTACTTTTTATTTTATTTTTTATTTTTTTTGCCTCAAGACTAATATTTGAAAAAAAAACTGTTAGAATCTAGATTCTGGTTTGCATCCATCCTGAAGAGAGAACTATGCATGGGAGTACAATTATCATTTTATGAAAATATACACATTCAATTATATTCAGACTTGCCTATCAGATAATTTAACTTGATAAACATTACATCAAACCGACCTTGTGTCACAACCTCACCTCGGAGGTGTGGGATTGAGTAAATACAAATTTAACTTGAAGAACAATTATGACTATGCTGTTTGCAAATAATAGGTGTGGGTGAGTTTTTTTTTTTTTTTTTTAAATATGTAGAAATTTTTTTTTTTTTACATTATCATTAGAACATTTATGACTTTCTTTGCCTATTTATAGGACTATAAATAGAAAATAATATAACTAAATGCAATGAAATAAAAGTTACTGCAAAGTAGTGGATAGAATTACAAAATGAAGTGGTCAGTGATGAAAGTAAAGGGTTTTCAATATTAGAACTTTATCATCTTTTGATGATTAGTCTATTTTGTGACTGATATAGATACTTGAAATTTCTGATAAAATATCAGAAAAATGAATAGGATGGGTGGTAAAGGTTTATACATAAATAGAACTCTAATTCAATTATTTAATGCTGTCCTTTAATGATATTGATTATGGAAGACACTGATAATTTTAACTCGGTTAGTCATTTTTACATACTTTTATCATTGTTTACTTAAGAATACTTTGTATCTTTGCATTTGAGAAAAAATACAGTTGATTGGAGATATAGCAATCAATCTATTATTTTGACCATACTGAGTCATTGAAGCCAATGTTGATTATTGGACATTTATAAACCACACTTTTAAATATTGTAATTGTGATCAGTTTCTTTTAATATCTTGTCTTCATTATGTACCTAATGATGAAAATCTCTTATTTTTAATTAAGTCTTCAAACAAAACTCTAAGAGCCTATTAGATACCAGACTCTCTTTAGATCTGGTAGGGGTTAGGTTGCCTCATTGGATGTTTTCCTTTCTGCTTTTACAATTTACTTAATCTTTCCTTTGTAATTTTCTCTATCTTGCTTTAACTTTTCATTTCATTTTTGTAATTTGTGTGTGTAATATATAAATAATAGCTCTGTTATATTACATCGAGCACTGTTTTAACACCGGCTTATATATATTACAGTGCTCGATGTAATATAACGGAGCTATTATTTATATATCTATCTCACATTCATAATATTCTGAAAAAGCATTGGAATCTTTAAAAAAAAAAAGACAGCATTTATTTGTTAGATGAATATTATCTCCATATTTTATTAGGAAGTGGTGGATTGCCTCTGTGTGTGTTTGTTTGAAATGATTTGGTGCTTTCCATTAAGTTATTTACAAACTCCAAAATAAATTTTTGTTCATTGATAAAACAAAAAGATTTTTTTATACTTATAACATAGCGAATCATTTTTATAATTTCTTAAATATTGAGATTAACAAAATTTATTTCTCTATTAGCTTTTTGATTTTTTTAACACATTTTGTATATCAGTATCTGTGCACTTTTTTAATGGGGTGAAATGCTTTATTATTGACAAATTTTTGATAAGTATACTTTGATATTTGTATTTCACTTTCTTTCTACCAAATCATCTGATTGTTAATTTACATATTTTCTCTCTCTCTCTCTCTACCCACAATTTTTTTTTTTTAATACTTAAGTGTGACCACCAGATAATTGTAAGCTTAATAAGATTAAGTTATTTTAAAAGTAAAAGATGGATCAAATCTCTCTGCTACCAGAGAAAGACAGATAAGCCTTTTACATAATTCTTTGCTTGTATGCAACTTCTTGTCTAGTTAAGCTATACAATCCTAACTTCTTTAAAGTTTCCCATGAGAATGATGTTTCTTATGGGTGTTGTTTTTGTATGACTTTATTCAAAATATAGGAACTTTCTCTATTGTCTTGTTTTATACATCATGCCTTTTTTGGCTTATATATGGCTTAATGTATGCGTATTGTTTATAATATTAAAATATATAATATAAAATAGAAGAAAACAAGAATAATTATTCAAATTATTATTCTTGTTTTCTGCTATTTCATATTGCTCAGAATCATTTGAGTTACAGCCAAAAATTGTGTAATATTGTACCAAAATTTGTCATCCTCCTTTACATATTCAAGGTGATTTGGATTTCTTATTAAAATTATACTGAAGAGTGCTAGCCAAGAAGGGATTGGTTAGGTTCTAGAAAATAGGTCAGGCAGAAATTTTCAGCACCTTCTATTGAAGTAGAATTACCTTTCATCAGATTTCACTGGTCCAGTAAATATCTTTCAAAAATACAACAAAATTTAGGATTAAGCAGTTGGCTATAAGCAAAAATTATAATTTTTATCACTTAAAATTAAAAAAAAAAATGTTGTTGAGTTAATAAAATCCACTTTATTTTATTTTTATTTAATCAATCTATTCTTAAAGTCTGTAATGAACAAGTTATCAACTATCATGATGTTAAATGAAACATATTTAATAATTTTTTGGTGGTTATTAAAATATCTACGGCTTTTGTCATACACCCTCAGGAATTGTTAGAAAATTTAGTTATTCAACTGTCTGACAGTAATTTTGCAAACCATTTTATTGAACATAACTATTGCTGTAAAAATTGTCCAATTTCAGTTTTAAAACTTAATTTTTTGGTTGATTCTTGGGAAGTAATTAGTCCACTTTTTTTCGTATAAAATTTAAAACAAAAATATATATATATATTTTTTTTTTTTTTTTTTTTGTATCAGTGTCTATGATGTGAACTTAGCTGTTTATTTGATACCAAAATAAATGAATTTATATGGTTTTAGTGTATTAAAAAAAAAAAATTGAAATATTTTCTTTTTTAATCTCGGATTCCAGTAACTTAATTTTGCCATAAAAATTACTGTTTTTCTATTTTTTTTATTTTTATTCTTTCTAATTAAATTCCTTTTTCAATATATCCTCAAAACAAAGCTTTTTTTTTTTTTTTTTTAAATTTTTCATTGAATTTTCAGACTATTCCAGTGGTTAAGAACTGTTATTGGAATCTTTATCCTTTTTCTTTTTCTTTTTTTTTTTTTTTTTGTTAGAAATAAATTTTATTTGCTTAGGACATAAATTTGTTTTCACCATATTTTTTTTTTTATTATTAGTAAAATATATTGGCAGATCATTGATATATAGTGAAGTTTAAATTTTATTTAACTACTGTCAGTGAAGCATTTGAAAATGTATTCATTCTCAATCTTCACACTGCATGTTGGCATGGAATTGAGCATTTATTGATGAAAATATGAACATTTTCATTTTAGAATGCATAGTTTGAATCATTTTCATTGCACAGTCACCTTTTAATTTTTAGGAATTGTATTTGGGAAGTGATTGTCTGATTTAGCCACTTCCTGTGCATAGACAGTAAACCTACAAGCTGATTTAATATGACTAATATTTTAGTATTTAGTTTTCTTGCCTGTTTTTTTTTTTTTTTTTACTGTATATCTTGCCATATCAGTGCATTCTGGAATAATCAGGAGTGAAGATTTTGATTTTTGTATTATGAAAAGCTGATATTATCTAGTATTAATAGCTGAAGACTGTAAATAAGTGTTTGTATGCATATAGTTGAAATTAATTTATGAGAGTTATTTCAGATCAGCACTGTCAAATATATTTTTTCTTCCTTTTAATTCATAAGGTAGATTTTTGTTTTTTAAATTTAAACAGTATCACCCTATTACATGTGGTCTGTTCATGTGCAGAGAATCTATATTGAAACACTTTGTGCTATCGAGGGGCATGTATCCTAGAGTATATTAAATGCAAATGTCAAGTTAATGTTAAGTGAAAAAAACATTATTTAGGATAATGTTGCATTGCCACCAAGCTCATAATGCATGACATTTGACGGGACATTTCTTTTTTTTTTTCTTTTTTTTTTCTTTTTACTCAATTCTTTTATACAATATTTTATTAATTTTGAATCTCTAACTAAAGATGTTTTTATCCAGAATTGAAGTCAATTGAAAATCAACCTTGAAAGTCATTTTTGTATGAATAGTGTTCTTTCATTAGAACTAAGTTCATTTACAACAAATCTAAATGCTACTTTTACTTTGTTTCATACACTATCTTGGTGATATATCATGGTATATTATTTGTGCTAACTTGCACGTTGAGTCATATATTCAGTATTTCATATTAATATTTGAATAGATACTCCAATATGTCATCTTTTAAGTATTTCATGTGTAAATCTGATTTTTTTTTTTTTCTGTCACCAGTTCCAAATACTGTTCCCACTTTATGGTCAAGAGAGAGAAAATATGATATGGCAATAGAAGAATCACATTTCTTCTGAATGAACGTCACACTTGATACTTAAAAGTACATTTTTTTCTTTTTCATTTAGGCACAGTACTTGCGGAGAAGACGGGGAAAATGGGTATGCAGGGTTTTTTATGCCAATAGCACTGAGTCATGAAAGAATAAAACCAATTTTTAACACTTTCATAACTTCATAGCAAGGGTTACCTATATACTTTGTGTTTTTTTTTTTTTTTGTTTTTTTTAAATCAATGAGGAGAAAATAATAAAAGAAAATGAAATAAGAAATTGAGAATTCCAAAAGAAAGGGAAAAAGAAAAAAAAATGTAAAAGTCTAGTGAACTGGAAACCCTTGGCTGTGTAGTTACTTCTGTACATATTCACAATATATTGAAGATATGGCTATGTCTGCTCCCAGCTATCTTTTTATGAGCTCTTATTCTCTCTTAATAATAATAATAATAATAATATTCTCTATGGAATCTTTTTCTCTCTCTCTCTTTCTTTTTTTTTCTATACTTTTCTCTTTTATGCATGAGCAGAAAAAGAAAGTTATGCAACAAAGATGTTTTCATCCTATGTTAATGTAGCCAAGTTGTGATTATAACTTGGAAATTAACTCTGTGGCTGAATAGTTTATTAGCTGTTGCTGCCTTTATGGCAGGTGGATGACAGGGACAGTTTTCTCAAAGTGTATATGTGGTATGGTTCATTATTTATTTATTTATTTATTTATTTTTTTAATTTCATTTTTAATTTTATTCATCTAACCATAGACCCCCCCCTACCCAGACTTTTTTTAAAATTTTTTTTTTAAATAAATGTGTGCTTGTGATCTCAACTCACTGGAAAGAACTTCCTTTAAAGATATAATTCATTTATATTCACTGAAAAAAATTAACATTTTTTTTTTTTTTTTTTTGGCTGTAAACATTACATTTTACTTTACAATTTTATTTTTGTTTTTTGTTATAATTTGTTTTGTTAAAGCATGATTTCTTAAATATTTTCAATGGCTTTTTTTCTTTTAATATTAACGTTGAAAATCTTTTCTATTTGTTATTGGCTGTTGGTTTGTTGTACTAATATTTCTACATTGGAGAGAGAGAGAGAGAGAAAGGGGAAAAATAGCCAGTGCTCAACAAAAATGATAATTGGAGCTGATTTTAGATTTTACGTAGAAAACAACCCAAACAACTTTATTTAGTTTATTTGAAAAATTTTACTTGATGTACAATAAAAACAAAAAAACACAGAAACAATAAACTTAATACAGATAATTCTGACATAAAAATTAACAATTATTATAATTAGTCATTAGTAGATAATCATATTGTTCATATCATTGAGCTATTGTCAATACCAGTTCCTATGCTTAAACTTTCTTTCTTTCTCTTGGTCTGTTTAGAGGATGTAGTAAAGCTAACATTCCTAGCAATTTTAATTAGACACTTGGTGTGAGGCAGCAACAATATTGTGTCAGTTATCTTTTAAATATACTTTTCTTCAGTATCATATTTGATTATATCCAGTCTGGCAACATTTTCATTTTAATGACTGACAATTATCTAGTTATGTAGTGTTTTTATTTTTCACCATTAGTAAAATTAAGTATAAAAATAAAATTCCCTATTATTTTTAAACTCCCAATATTGTTATGCTGTCTCCTTTTTATTTAATCCAACTTAATCATATTTGATCTTGGGTAGTGATTGTGGTGGGTATTGCAAAAAAAAAAAAAAAATTAAAATAACAAATTACAAAATAAGGTGTGTAAAAAGAATTATTCGCTAGGAATAACTAAGGAATAACTAAATTTGTCAATTTGCACATTTTTGGGGAGCAGCCATAGGATAATGTTTATATTTTATTTAATTACTTAGCTTAGGTTTGGAATAGGGCCATAAATATGGGATACCCAGTGAGGGTAAAACTCAATATTCATTAGCAATAGGTAAATGGACATGCTTTTTAAACTTTACACTAAAGTTCCCTTTTTCATTCATTTAGATGTTATCCAATGTTCACACACACACACACACACACACAAAGATTGCCTCAAAATTATTTCTGCTTTTATCTTTTTAAAATAATTTATCTAAACAGAACATTCTGAACTGTTATGTTGGGAGACATTTTAGTATAATTAATTGCTCATTAATGTAATTATTAATTACCTATTATTAATTAGTGTAATTATTAAACTAAATTTTTCAATTTGAATCATGTCTTATATAAATAAATTTAGGATTATAGATTTGGTATGGCTAACAAAACTTAATGTACAGCAAAAAAATAAAATAAGTGTTGCCAATGCAAGATGTTTGAGAACCCACTGAATTAAACGGCTCAAGATCTGATCTTGCACTTATATATTGATTAAAGTTCAAAATGTGCAATTTATATTTATTTAAAAGATTTGCATAAAATCTTTATGGCCATTCAAAATATCAAACTTAATCAGTCATTTAACAATATCAGTTGTACCAATAGTTTTCTAGCTATGAAGGAGAAAAAAGTTGCTGGAAATTGTCTTTTAGCCTTTTGTTTATATAAACCTTTGAACTGTTAAGATTTAACTAATCATGGAAACTGTATTAGGGTTGTTAGCATGTTGATTTAACTAATACCAATTTAATTTTCCTGTAAGATAATATACTGCATTTTTTGGCTACTCCCCAAATATCAAATAAGCAGACTTATACAACTTAATTTTATCAACCATAAGCTCTCTGCTTATTGTGCTTTATGAACATTTTAGCCTTGGCTGAAATCTAATTTGAATTTGACTCTGTATTTTATTATAACTTAGAGCTTTGTCTTTCTTCTTCTCGCTCTCCAATAGTGTAGCAAGTCTTGCTTTAATCAGCTTACTGTCAGCTGTTTGTGTGCATCTGTTGTAAAGTGTTGTTGTTGTCTTGTGTGCTTCAGCTACCTTCTACTACCATTACTATTATGATTATTACTTTTTTTCTTTTTGTTGAACAAATCTTTGCTGATCATTGTGCATAAGATATTATAACAAAAATATATCTAAGTTCAGAAAACAAAATTCATTGTATCAGTAATTGTTTTGATAAATCATTTTTTTTACTGCATATTTTAAAAGCTGGTTTAACATTTTTATGCATTTATTTTGCATATTTTTTTATTTGTTGTCTTTTATGCTGTGTTCTGTTATAAACAGTTTTTGTGTGGATTGTTCTTGGGAGAATTTTTGATATGAATATGGACATGATAAAATCTAAAAACGAACCACTATGTAACAAATGATTTAAAACTTTAGCTTTTCTTAAATAACAGGAATTCAAAAAATAATTATGAAAAACGATAAATAAATAATGTTAATTGTATTAGAAATTGTGCAAATGTGTTTATTTTTTATTTCAAACAATTATAGAAAGGAAATATCACTTCCACACCTTGACGTTTTCAGGGGAAGTTAATGAGTGTATTGAATTTTAAAAAAAGATTCCACATGAAATACAAGCAATGCGTCTATTTTAAAATTCATATATTTGTTTTACTCTAGAATAGCAAGAATAATAAATATATGGACACTTGTTGGAATACTTGGGTACTCCCCCACCACCTTAACATACACACGATCCCATAAAAAGTTGTAATCTCAGGTGAAAAGTTAATGCTTATACCACATCTTATTGTCAAACTGCAGTCACAAAAGTCTGGTAAATTCTACTAAACATTGGAAATAGTTGTGCTGAACAATGTTCATACTTTATCAGAATATCTGGTATTTAGAGATCAGCTTTACTTGCACACTATTTACACACACACACACACACACACACACAGTGTTGAATGTTACTTCAAGTTTTAAGCAGTTTATTTTGTTGCTTATTTTTTGTACTTCTGTTTTGTCAGTGTTTGCTACTCTGTTGCCCTTCCTTCATTATATTATGTCTATTTGTGTTTTTTAAGATATATTTCTTTAAATATTTTAAAAAATATTTCCATTTGTAATTATTGCTCTTTTTATAATTGTTTTTCCTATGCTATTCATATTAATGTTATTTTTTTAAATTCTTTTTTGTTAAATAACATGAATTATTTCGTTTTTTTATTTGCTTGCTGGCAGTGATGTTATGTAAGGGAGATTATTTGTAGTATTAGTGGTTGTCTCCCCTTGATAGCACATTAGTGCAATTAAGCTAATATTATAATCAATTGTAATCTTCATTGTGATCAGTCAGGAGGAATGTCGTTTCATTTTTAGTTGATCTCAGCCACATTCCACTTTATTTTTTATCATCATCGCAATAATAAGTTAGGAAATATAACTTAGTTTTTGCCTCAAATTTTCTGAATTAAGAAAATTTAAAATAGCTTGTGTAACTGCCTGGGAGCATAGAAGTAGATTATTTCTCTATTTTCATTTTGTTTATAAAATTTTTTTATTCATTCCACTAATATCTTTGTTGTTGCACAGGCCAGTAGTTTTATTCTAGTTTCTTAACTTTTCACTGTAACAGTCAGCATGATTATCCTTTCCCACAAAGATGTTTTTCTTGCCAACTTCATATGACAATTTTCATTATTTTTTTTTTTAATGTGCTGTGTATCACTTTTTTTTAAATAGATTATTTTTGTTAAAAACATTTTAGGGTAGTTTGATCCTGAACTCTACTACAGTGAGATAAGACTTTTTTTTTTTTTTAAATGTTTAATATCTCAATTTTGAATAATCTTTGAATGTTTTATATTTTGGCAGACTTTTTCATAAGCAAAGAAAATGATATAAATTATATTAACATTTGTGCCAGATATCAAATGCTGCCTACTAAACCCATTGTGTTTGAGTTCTTTTATAATGAAATTTAATTCTTTTGATCAGATATCAAAATCTCGTTTTTGTTATTAGTTGTAAGAGAAGTCAGTAAATTTTTTTTAAAAATTGCATTTTTTTAAGACATTTAGAAATGGTAATTTCAAGTTTTAATCAATTGGAGTGCTTTCAGTTGAAACCATTTAAAGATGTATTTCTTTCACTTGTAGCAATAATATTTGCCTAGAAAAAGCTGTTAAAAATGTTTTCTATTAGATAATAATGATAATTAGTTATTTTATCAATATTATTCTAATTTTGGGTAGGGGATCAGTTATGTCAGTCACTATGAAGTTGGTATCTCTCTCTTTCTCACTTTCCTATCTTTTTATATATATATATATATATATAGAATGATTATACTTCACAATCTTCAAGTGATGGTTTATCTTTTTCCTCTTTCAACATGTCTATAGGATTTTTGTGTCACATAACTCTAGTAGTTTGGAGTACATTCAATGTGTGACTGAATTAAGTCTATGCATTGGTTATTTTTTTATTTTATTTTTATTTTCTTGCTCTTGTAGGCCAATAGCTGGGGGTGAAGGAGAATTAGATGATGTTCCAGATGGAGAGGGAGAACTTGAATATGCTGACCAGGAGACCCCTGAAGAAGAATTTGATGATTTCCCTGTGATTGGGACTTGTCGTGCCCTTTATCAATTTGAAGGTAAGAGCCTTAATGTTCTTCCAGAACATTTTTAATTTTTTTAATAAAAAAAAAAAAATGTACTTCCTGTAATTATAGCTATTTGTTTTCATATGTATTTTTTCTTTTGATAGTGTAATTACTTTGGTTTTTGTAGATCTAATGATATTTATGTGAAAATAGTCCTGACCCAGCAATTCTTATGAAATGAATCTACTTTCATCATTTTTGCATATAACAGACCTGTAAAGGTTTTTTTTTTTTTTTTTTTAAAAACCCTAATCTTAGTTGTTACAAATTAAAAAAGAAAAAAAAAAATCATGCAGAAGATTTAAAAATGACTTTTCTTTGGATGACCTTATTCCAAAACTTATGAAAGAACAACATTGCCACATTTTTTTTATATTGCAGATAGTTATTTTCTGCTGCCATAATATAAGATGGTAGATTTTTTTTCTTATTGAAATGTGTGTACTCATAATAGCATAATACTAACTTTTTTTTTTATTTTTATTTTAAATGAATTACAGTTCCTTATACAATCAGCAGCATAAGATTATATTTTGTAATTTACTAATTGTGTTTTCTATGTAAATTCATTTGAAGCTCTTTACAACTTTTTTTTTTTTTTTTTTTTTTTTTTGCATTATTAATACTCTATTCAATTTATTAATTTCTGTTTTGTCTTGTAGCTATGAACGAAGGTTCAATATCCATGGAAGAGAATGAGGAAATGGTTGTTCTCGAGCAGGACCAAGGAGATGGTTGGACCCGCGTTCGCAAGGCTAATGGCCTTGATGGTTTCGTTCCGAGTTCTTACATTCAGTGTACATTGTATGATCCACTCTAGGTTCTTGCTGGCTATCTGGCCACATGGTCATTACAGCAGGTCTACAAGTATCTAACCTACATAACAGTATTTCAGTTTCTACACTGTTTTGTCGTCTGGACATATAAGTGTCTACATGCTCTACTTGCAACACAAATACAGCCACCATTGTTATATTACAGCTATTATTACTATATGAAAAAAAAAAAATGAGGAAAAATAGGGGTCAGCAGATTACCTGTTGTGCTCATTGTTGACCTGTGCAGATTTACCATCAAACTTGATGCATCTACCATGTGGGAGCTAACTATACAAACTTCATTTTACTTATATATGCAAAAGAAAAAAAGATGAAGATACAGTAAAAACCTTAAAGAATATAAAAGTAATGAAAAAAAAAATTTTAAGGGGGCAGTTAAATAAAACTTACAAAAAAATTTTTTTCCCTTCAAACTAACAAAAAAAAAAAAAAAAAAGCAATGATAACGTTAAACTGACCCAAAGAACGTAAAAGTCCCATCTTAAAAAAAGAGAAAAAAAGACATCCTGACTGTTACTTGCCACCACATTTGTTGCTATCACTAACAACTCTGCAAATGCTGTTTTATTTTTTATTTTCCTTACTTTGATTTGCATGCACCATCAAATGGAAAATAAACAGTCAAAAATGAAGGAAAGAACAAACAAGAGTGGGGTGGGGGAATCAAATATTGCTGGGAAAGGAATAGCAACATTTATGAGGTAGAGATGTTATGTTAACATCTCTAAGTAATGACTGGAGTTGGTAGTGCTTTGTCACAATGTCCCAACAGTTCTGCCTTCCTCTTTTGTCCCTTCCCATACACAAAAATCAGCTCCACTTTAGATCCTCTGGTCATTTTGTTTCTGGGAAGATTTGACAGAAAGATGGAACCAATCCCACCTAAAATTTAGGCTGAAGCAAGGTACCATTTAGTCTTTAATCTATCTTCTGTAATCTTCCTTAAGTCTATGGCTTGGAGTAATTCATATTTAATATGAATAAACCGAGAAAAAGACTTTCCTTTTAACTTTTAGACTCTAATGAGAAGCTAGAGAAGACTTGAAAGGGTGGTGTAAGTAATGTTTAACTCGAAAAGATTTTTTTTTTTTTTTAAGATATTAATTTTATCAGTTCTGTTGTAACATCTAGACTTATAATTTCATTATGCATTGTGTGTGTGTGTGATTTTTATTTCATGCTTAGTCTAATTTTCAGTTGTAATACAAGACTCCCAATAAACACTAGTGAATAATTCTTTTTGCACACACCTTATTTTAAATTAGTTTTACTATTATATGTTGACGTTCTCAAAAATCTGTAATGTTTGTCAACTTTTGTTGAAAATAATTTTAGATAATTATTGGGTTACAAATAATTAAAAAAAAAAAATAATAAAAAACATAAAGCATTTATGCTAACCAGAAACAATACTTTGCAGAGGTAAACTTTGTGCGAGTTGGTTGCAACTCCTGCTTCAGCCTGCTCGTTCAGTGTCTGTCCTCTTTCTGTGAGGGTGCAAGATAAGTCTTTTTCTTTTAACTTTTCTATTTCTCTTTTCTACATCCCTGCCCCGTTAATGGTTGCTACCTTGTTTCAGTCAATATCTGTGATAAACCATTGGAAAAGTGTTGAAGCAAAACAAAATACAGCAAAATAAAGGGAAAAAGAGGAAAAGAAATTATTGGTGGCTCACTTAAAACGGAAAATAAATTACAGCAACAATGAAGATGTTTTTTTTTCTTTTTTTTATTATTATTATATATAAATTGAGGATACTTTTGTCCAATCCAGTTTTTAATTGGCAAATTCAATGAAAGCCACTTTCCAAAATCTTTTCTTGTTGGCCAGGAAGCATTGGGAGGAGGTACCAATCAATGAATACATTTGCAGCAGCACAGTGATATTATTTGTCTATTTTTCTACTTTTTCATTCTGCAGATCATAGTTTTTGTTTCTCTTAGCAAACCAGTCCAATTTTCTTTCTTTTCTTTTTTTTGTTCATAGTGACTTACACTTAATGGTCACAGTTGTGTGTGTGTGCGCGCGCGCGTTTTTCTCATTTCACCTTAGACTGTTTACTATTAGCTCAATTCAGCCAACCGACATCTGTAATCTTAAATTCTTTTACTTAATGTCTAGCGAATTGGATGATTTTCATTTATTCTGCATAGAATAGACATGAACAACACTGAACTTGATGGGTAATAATTTATAAAAGGTGTTTGTTGTGCTAATATTTTGTACTATTTTTAATTATATATTTAGGGTTTGGGATAGAATTGATGTTTAGTAGTTTTCAACAGTAATGATTTTTGCCTGATCAAGTTCACTTTCTATGTTTGAAACTATTTCCATTTTTAGAATAAAACATTTTATAGCTCAAAAGTCACTGATTGTTAATTGATTAGTGGAAACAATTTAAATCCATATAAAATATGATTTTAAAATGCATGTGGCAATTTTTTTTTGCATTTCATTTGTTGCTTGGAATCTTGAAAAGATTAATTTACAATAACCCCCTTTGCCCCCACCAAAAAATGTCAAAATTTTGTTTTTCCTGCTATTTCACACTTTCTATTTTTGTTGTGAATGGAACAAAAAGATTAATTCCCAATTAAAAAATATCTCATTTTCTACCTTTGCTGATGTCTACAATTTTGTTATTCAGATAGTTTTCATTTTTAAATGAAAATATCTTCAGAGTGAGAATTTATAAATTTACAAACAGGAAAAATATCTTTTTGATTATTTAAAAAGAAGAAAGAAAGCAACAAGAAAAACCAACAACTATCTAAACATGATCTTTCCAGATCCAGAATTACTTTTACTAATAGCCAATGCTACTAACCAATGAAACTGTACTGATTATAGATATCCTCAATAAACTCCCTTGTTGCTTTATGCTTCCTTCTTGACTGACCAGTTGGGTTTTCTTCTTTCCTCTTGCCATATCGAGTTTCAGTCAAAAAACACTTGGCAACTTAGTATTTTACTTTTCATTTTTATATTGCCTTAAAGTAAATTTATTTATTTATTTATTTTTTTTTTTTTTTAAATATTTTTAAAAATATTTTTTTAATATTATCTTTCTAGATTTTTCTCATGCATTTTCTATGACAATATTTGACTTTTTTTCTGTATATTTGATAATTGCCTTAGTTGAAAGCATGTCTCTTTTGGATCTTGTAATTTGTTTGGACTAACATGATTGTCCAAACTTATTTAGATTTGACAACATCTCACAATAATTTAGTGTTTTCTGAATGTAATTTTTATCCTGATTTTTGTCAGGATATGTCATTACCTTAAATAGTGTGTAAAGACTTTTTTGTACTATCAACTACTATCCCATAAAGCTATTTTTGGGGCATACCTATTTGTTGTCTTCCACTTACCTAACAATGGGGATTGAAGAAAGAAACTTCATAGATTTCTCTTTACCCAATAGATAATGACAGTAATAATATCCAAAAATCTTAATGTTCTCCTTAGTTGTTTGAGCTACATCTTTGTACAAATCCATAACTGGGTTGTTTACTTGAAGCTTTTAAATACTAATATCCAATGAATGTTTTAGCATTATTGCATATAAACAAGCAAAGAAAAGAGCTATTTTTTCTATTACTACATTCAAAAAGGTACTTTTGTCTGAGGCATTATATAATTATTCGGTGATTTTGTGTATGTGCGCATATATATATATATATATATGTGTGTGTATGTGTGAAGTAGTTTTCAGACAATGTTGTGTTGATAATCATTTGTAGATGAACAGTGTTCAAGAGACTCTGTGCTGTTTTACTTTTGTTTCAATATTTGGCTGTAACTTAAAACTGCAGCTCTTGTCCAACATTCTAGGTAGTTTCCTCACTCTCTTTTGTCAGCATTTTTAAAAATATGGATGGACTCTTTAATCCTTATATCTGCTGTTGGTTACCTCTGGTACTGTCTCCGGCAGCATTTCATGGCATAGAATTTTTTGAGAACTGGTGTCATTTCACTCCTGGGGCCGTTTTACTTTTTAATTTAGTTTTCATTATTTTTTTTCTTGACTATAAAAAATACATTTTAAAAAAATTTAAAAATTTAAAAAAAAAAAAAAAAAAATGGAAAAAAAGAAAAAAAAAAGAAAGCTCTTGTCACTCAGGTTCCTCCTCATTCACCTTGGATATATTATATTGGGGTAAAGTGAGCCATTTTTCACCTGGCATTTGCTAGGAAATAATAATTCAACATCCGCTCACTATTTTCCTCTATATTCATTCAAAAGAAATGAAAAGGAGTTGATCTCTATATTTATAGGGAAATAACCTCCAAAATTTTATTTTTCACTTTAGCATTTTTTTTTTTTTTTTTTTTTCAACCGTTGCCAGTTGAGAGTTGTAAATTAAAAGTAAAGATTCAGCTATTTCTAAATTTTAGGAATACTGGCTTAGTTGAAATTTTTATTACTTAATTTTTTTTATTTGAAACAAATATCTTATTTCATCCTTTTCTTCTAATAATTTTAAATTATGTTGAAAAGATGGAATATGGCTATTTCAATAATTATTCCTCTCTGGCAAGGTCAGAATGGCTGTTGGGCAATGCACATAGCTGCCGCTACTTTTCCTGTCTAGGTGAAGGCATATTGGTGGCTAATACACACAACTGCCTTTTTTTAACTTTTATTTTTAAAACAAAAATTGTCATCAGGGTTTTAGCTGGATCCTAGCCTATCACCATGCAGCTGCTCTCTGCTCAAGAAATTGTCTTTGGATTTAATTGGAGATTTGTGATTTTAATTTTTTTTTAATGTTTTTTTTTTTATTTTTTTTTGTTTTTTTTTATATAATCTTATCCTTGTGCTAAAATCAATGTACAAATCCAAGAAAAAAAAAGAATAAAATATAATACACTTTGTTTGGGAATAAAAGCAAATGAGGAGAGAAAAATAAGTCAAAGAAAAAAAAATTTCTTAACCCATCTGCATCTTATAAGATTCATTTAACATCTTTTT